CTCCATGAAATTTCCATCCTCAGTGCTCAGGGAACCCCATAGTGATGAGGCAGATGGACTGAGAAGAGAGTGAGGATGGAGGAAACTGGGATTACAACTGAGCAAAGTTCATAGGAACTCACAGAGACTGAAGCATGTATACTGGGCTTCCACAGGTCTGCACCAGGTCCTCTGCATGTATACTATAGCTTTCAGTTTAGTAATTTTATGATACTCCTGAATGTGTGAATTTAAGATCTCTGATTCTTATGCCTTCCCTTACAGCTCTTTTCTGTTAGCTAGTCTTGTCCAGCGTCAATATGGTGGTTTTTGCTTTATCTTATCATATTTTATTTTGTTATGTTTTGTTGTCATCTCTTAGAAGCATATTCATTTCTAATGGGAGACAGAAAAGGAGTAGATTTGGATGAGAGAGGAGTTGTGGAGGAACTATAAGGAGTAAGGGAGGGAAAAGTGGGAAAACTATATTCAGGTTACATTGTATGATAATAGAATCTATGTTTAATATATGGAAAAAAAGAAAATGGGAGTTTAATTTAAACTTTTTTATTTTTGTGAATTTCACATATGTATACAATAAAATATGATTATATTTACAATTTCTCACTGTATATACCTCTCAACATACTCCCTTCCCAAATTCATGTCCTTTAAAAAAATAACCCATTAAATCTAGTTAGTACAGGGTTGTGGATCCATCCATCCACCAAAGCACGGAAAACCTACCAGTGACAACCTGGTAATAAATCAGTGTTTCTCCACCCCCACCACAGTCCCCCACAACTACCAATGGCCAATAGTTCCTCAGTAATGAGTGGGGCCAATGAGTGGTTGATCTTCCGCAAGTCTTGTTTGGGTAGCCATTGCTGCTGTGACTTCATGAGAGGGATATACATATTCAGAGAACTCCTCCCTATCCTGCAGCTCTGCTCATTTTCAGTCTCCTCTTCTACAGTATTTTCTGAGCCTTGGTAGTGAGTTACGGAGAATAATATAGAAGTTCTGTCCAGAGTCGTGCACTCAGTGTCTCACGATCAGCACGGGTGGCTAACTGCTTCACATTGTAAAAGCCAATGTGAACAATGTTTATATAGACTTAGCAGCACAGGTCTATATAAGCATAAATATCTAGGAGGCATATTGACAGCACGATTATTCAGCAAAATAACAATACCAGGTTCTACCTTCAGTCTATGACTTCCCCAGTCAAGGATTTTTGGCCAGGAATACAGTACCAGGCATGGCATTCCCTCTTGTGGGTCAGGTTTCAAGGCCAGTTAGAAAGTTTTAAGTTATCCAATAGCATCAAGTTTAGAGTTTGAGATATTTATAGACCTTATAAGAGAAAAAAACTCCTACAATTGAAGTTGAGAAAAATGAGAAGCCGAATGATTGTGTAAGAGTCAAAACTGTACTATTTTTATGCCAATCTTTCCCCATCTCCTTTAATGATAAATATTCTAAGGAGAATGTTTCCAACTTTATTTTATTTTATTATCATTCTCCTTTTTCATATGACACCTGAATAAGAGGGCATATCATTAATTTTGACTGAATGCAGTATTTTGAATATGACACATTAAAAGAAATTCAGTGTAACTTTTTCCTTAAAGTATGTGATGACTCTGTTCAAATCCAAAAGCAACAAAAAGAATTGGCTATAATGTCATGATAATAATATAGGAAGACAAATTCAGAAAATATGAAGAAATTCAATTTTCATATACATTGGTATAGTTAATAGAAAAATAATGACTTGATATTATGAGTATTGCTTTACGATTAAAATTAGTTCCTGTGCCCAGCTAATGTAAAATGTTTTCCAAGCCACTTTAATTGTCTCTACATCCTCCTTCCTTTTATCTCTCTTGTTCCCTTATGTGTTATTTTTGTGGCATTGGGAATTGTGCCCTAGGGTTCAACTGTGCATGCTGGGTCATCCTTCCAAAGCACTGAGCTGTAGAGAATTGAATTATACCCTTCCGTACCCCCACCTTTTACTTTACTGTCTGTTTTGAGACAAGGTCACACTAAATTTCCCAGACTGGTTTTGAACTTGTTTTGTAACCCAAGCTGACCTACTTCAGCTGTCTGAATATCTGAGAATACATTCCTACACCACCAGAGAAAGTAAATAAGATATACATCTATCTTCCAACACACTATTATTATTATTTTAAAAGATGATTATCTCTAGCAAATGCACAGAGCCGGCCACAGTAGCTAATGATTGCTGATTCATTCCAATTTATTTTTTACAAACATTAGTAAGCAGAATCCCAAGAACCATCTTTTTCTATGAGGACATTCACCCCATTGATTTGAGGTTCATCTCTATCTATCCTTTCTGGCCATCATCAGTAATGAAAAGTAACTATACTGGTTTTGTATAGTAATTCCAACCTAAGGAGTTTATTGAAACATGCATTTTCTTCCCATCAAGGAGGCTGGCATAGCACTACAGGAAGTTAGAGTTGGTTATTCCCTCATAGATCAAAGTCTGCTTGCCAGTGTTATATATATTGACCTGTCCAACTCCCTTTTCATGATTGATCACTTTGCCACCCAGAGGATTTCCCTGTCACTCTGTCCTAACAAAGTTCTCTATAAGGCTTTAGATAATTAAAGGCCTTATTTATTTTTACCTTGGAAAATCCTTAATTTTCCAGGAACAAGGAAAGCCCTACACTCTGGGAGTTGTTACTTTTGCTAAATAACATTGATTTTTTCCCCCTTTATTACCAAAGGAGGCCCTTAGATTGTAAAGGATTGCAATGTATCTACTTTTGCATTTAGCCTCCAAGGTTTTGTAGTTTTGTGGATTGACTGGTAAAAATAATATCAGCAGTGCTCTATTGACTGGAGCATATGGAGAACTGTTATTTTTTAAGGATGGACAAAGCATTAAACTTTGCCTGCCATGAGCTGTGGTGACTTCCTGGCATGTACACATGACATATGACAATGGAATTGGCACAATTGTGTGAACAGGAAGAAGAAAGGGCCCAATAGGTTTCCTGATGTCTGTGTCCCTGTGGCATTTTTATAAGCCAAATTACCATAAGACCTTCTTGAATGAAATTTTCCATGGTTACATTTATATTGCCAGCATTCAGGCTTGATGTTACAAAAGATTAAAGCAATACTAAAGGACTTCATAAATCCAGATTGCACGTTCAGCCATAGCTTTGCAATGGTATCTCTAGAAGGAAGGACAACGACTTTTTCTATTAATCAATTTCAGTATTAACACACTGTACTTTAAAACACATTTTACTGTCTTTGGACTTGAAAACTGTGTGCATGGGTAAAGACATGAGGTTTATTTTTCTCATTTCTTTTGTGATTTAATACGTCACAAAATGTGACATCTTAATCTTGACAACACTGATACTTTTAGGATATTTCTCTTTTAACATTATACAAGCTCAGCTAGTTTATTTGGGATCTTTTCCTCTAGTACCTAACTCTCTTGGAGAGAGACCAATCTTAATGAATTACAGAATCTCAAGGGAAGAGACTGGAGGGTGTAAGAAGGAAGAATCAAGAAGTAGACCATTGACCTTCCCAATTTCAAGAGAAAAAACAAATTATTCTCAGAAACATATAGAGATTTGTTTATAGAATCACAATCACGTATTGAATAAAATTATTTTCCCAGGATGAGGAAATCATATTCATTTTATGACAAATTGCATCCTTGAAGGCAAATACTATTGTGGATCATTTGAGTATATGGATTGTTAAGTATATATGTATAATTCAAGAATGGTCATCTTCAGTGAAAATTTTAAAATAATTATGAGAAAATGATTTTTATTTAATTTAAAGATAATACCCAAACAGGTACTAGAAGATGATAGATATATTAATGACAAGGAAGTACAGATAAACAAATAATCAAGACTCATTACATGACCTTCTAGGATTGATACTTACAGGAGGAAATGATCACAGATAAACACTATGCATTATGTTGCTGCTTGCTCCTCTTCCATTTGATGCTATAAAGTCATTTTCTGCCTCCTCACATATTCACAGACTGTGGTCCAATGTGTCTAAACTCATTTCTAGTACCTATTCTCACATTCTTTTCTCTAATTAAGGTAAAAAACTCATTGATAGTATCAAAGGCTGCTTGGATTTAATGATGACAAAAATGAAGAGTTAATTATAGCTCCACTCTATCACAGATTTAAATATGAAAATGATAATAAAGGACAATTGTACCTTTTGCCAGATATGAATGCACAATTTAACTATGAGAGAAATTAAAATAAATTTCACTTGACCTCCAAAGTAAATATTTATCACCAGTCCCAGGTATTTATTGCTGTGTAGCAAACTGCTCTCCAACAAAGAGTTTTAAGGAAAAAGAAGTCTTTAAGGTTCTGTACTGTGACCTGGGATATGTGTTTTGTAAATTGTCACAAAGTTGTTAGATAGAGAAGGGGTCACTAAGCACACCACTCATTGATGATGGCTGCACTCTGAGAGCCCAGGTGGGGTGCTGAATGAAGAACTTGCATGTGTTCTCTCTGATTGTCAGCTTCCCCAGCAGGGTGGCTTGGCTCCTGATAATGGATCCTAAGAATGAATATTCTAGGAAATTGAAAGTTGTACAGCTTCTTAGGACTTCATCCCAGTAGCCACTGAGTACCACTTCTGTCACGTTCAATTGATCCAATAGCTGATACACAAAACAGGAAATTAGACTCAGTCTTGTGATACAGAGGTAGCAAAATGACTTTAAAAGTAATATAAGAGGAGCTGTATTTAAGGCCACTTTAAAACCAAACTTCCTTCAGAAAATGATTTATTTAGTATTATACCATCTCCTTCTTCCCTTCCTTCCTTCATTTCTTCCTTCTTTCCTGTCTTTTTTCTCATTTCTTTCTTCTTATTCCTCCTTATCCATCTCCTTTCCTTTTTAGTCTTCTTTAGTTAACTGTAATCATAAGACTAGATTCCATCAAGAAATGTGAATAGAAGCAACATACCTTCCAGACACCTTTTAATACATTTATCTTCTCTTGGTTTTTCTTGGATCAAACATTATCTGTATCACTAGAACCATGAAAGCAGAATTATCTCCCTTAAAGTTTTCAAGATTTATACCTTAAAATTGTTTCATAAAATAAAAATATGTTAATTTCATTCTATGCTCTGCATATGTTCATTCTAACTCTTCCCATGTATGATATTTATATTGGTTGAACTATTGCATTTATTGACCTTTTCATTGTACACATTTCTGAAATATTTATGTAGCACACTTTGGTTTATAATTCATGTTCTAATATATAAAGCATTCCGTTTTCACTGGATAAATAAACCTTTTTAGATAGAGGGTTGGCTAAAGAGTAGCGAACTTTTAAGTCTAGATTTGTGATTACATAATATAGGTATACCCTGTAGCTACAGTGAAGCTTTTCATTGTAAGACCTGATAAAATACTCAACTTCTAAAGTTGATAGAATGCAAGAATCAGCTTGCCTGAAACATTTCCTCTATAGAACAGCAGGGACTAGATGATGGTAGATGTGTGTGTGTGTGTACTGCTGCCAACATAAACCTTTCCATTCCTATGCATTTTCTTTCTCAGAAACCAGGAAAAAGAGAAAATTATTTCCTAAAGAAGCAGCCTACAGAATGGGAAAATATTTTACCAACTCCACATTTGATAGAGGACCAATATTCAAACTATATTTAAAAAAGCCTCAAGAAACTAGGTATCAAAAAATCCAAGTAATCCATTTAAAATTGAGTACAAATCTAAACAAAGAGTTCTCAGTATAGGAATCTCAATTGCATGAGAAACACTCAAAGAAATGTTCAACATCCTTAGCCATCAAGAAAATGCAAATCAAAATGACTCTGAGATTCCATCCTACACGTGTCAGAATGACTTAGATCAATAACACAAGTGACAGCTCATGCTGGTAAGGATATGGAGCAAGGGAAAAACTCCTCCACCGCTAGTGGGAGTGCAATGTAATACAGACACGATAGAAATCAACACTATGGTTCCTCAGAAAATTGGGAATAGATCTACCTCAAGACCGAGCTATATTATACTTGGGCATATACCCAAAAGTCACTCCATCCTACCACAGAGACACTTGCTCAGCTATACTCACTGTGACTCAACTTATAATAGCCAAGAACTGGAAACCTAGGTGTCTCAAAGAAACTGGAGGCATAATTGTAAAATGGAGTATTAATCTGCTGTTAAAAATGACATGAAATTGTCAGGCAAATGGATGGAACTAAAAAACAATTCATCTTGCGTGAGTCAGAAAGACAAATGTGATATGTATTCATGTATAGGGAGTTATTAGCCCTTAGGTAAATGATAACCAAGCTGTAATCTGTAGCTTCAGAGAGGTTAGGTAAAGAAGAAGGGTCTAGGGGAGGACACTTGAATCTCCCAGGGAAAGCGAGTTAGAATAGATTTTGTGGGTGCACTGGGGATGAATATTGACAGGAGTGGGAGGGATCAATTAGCAGGTAGGATGGAGGGAGAGAATGTGGAAAGAGACAGCTGGAATTGGAGGACATTTGAAGACTGTGGAAACCCAGTGAAAAGGAAACTTCCTAGAATCTATGAAGGAGGACTCCTAGCAATGGGACATGCAGCATCTGAACTGACAAACTCTTGTAAATACCCAAGGCTCCTAGTGGTAAGACTGAGTTGCATTCAGTTGAGTTGTCAGTCAAAGGGATCCTATGGAGATCCCTAAATAACCTAGGCTAGGCCAGAGGGTTTCTCTCCTTAAGCTTCCCATTGCCAAGGACAACAATCACACAGCTCTTTGAGCATAGAGAGGTAAACCTGGTACCTACATGAAGTCTTCACCCCTACATTCTACTCTCTTTGAGCATAGAGAGGTAAACCTGGTACCTACATGAAGTCTTCACCCCTACATTCTACTCTCTTTGAGCATAGAGAGGTAAACCTGGTACCTACATGAAGTCTTCACCCCTACATTCTACTCTCTTTGAGCATAGAGAGGTAAACCTGGTACCTACATGAAGTCTTCACCCCTACATTCTACTCTCTTTGAGCATAGAGAGGTAAACCTGGTACCTACATGAAGTCTTCACCCCTACATTCTACTCTCTTTGAGCATAGAGAGGTAAACCTGGTACCTACATGAAGTCTTCACCCCTACATTCTACTCTCTTTGGTGGAGGAAGATACTGTGCAAGCTTGCAGAAGAAAAATGTAAACACAAACCCAGCTACAAAATCTTTGACCTATAATCTTTCCTCTCTGAATGATGTGATGGAGTAATGTTGATGCAGAACTTGTGGGAGTGGCCAACCAATGTCTTATTTAACTAAAGGCCCACTCCATGAGTGGTTTTCCAGTGCTTGACACTGCTGGATGACCAGGAACTGGAGACTTAATAGCGCAGAAAGGGTAACACAAAACATTGCTGTTATAAAAAAAATGGAAGTGATTTTCAATAATGATGGCTAAGAAAGAAAAAAATGAAATAAACACATTTGTCTTAAAACCTTTGTGAAAATTCAGTAAGAAGTAACAGAAGTAAAGAGTCAAATTTTGTAAAAATCACAATATGAACTTCAATTAATTGATGACCAGACAAAATAGTTGAAAGAATTTCAATCACCGAGATTAGGGTCTTCATAGTAAGCTTAAAAGACATCTCTTACATTCCCGTGTAGGTAGTGGCTTCTACAGACAGTTACATATTGCTGGGCCTGCAAACCAAAGAAAATACAGTGAAGGATGTAAATAATAATCAGAAGCTATATTAATTTCTCAGGAATAATTGGGACTGGAAACAAGGAATGATTCTTTCCTCTTTCTCCTTAAGATGCTATTAAACTCCTAACTTCCAAAGAGAGGAAATGCTCTGTGATAGTGGTGATAGAAAAGGGAGAGGTCTCTTCTCTGAGAACTAACTTCAGGGCTTCTCAAACTAGTACACAGGTAAAGAAGGAGCACTTTCAAACTTTTCATAAAGTCGGTGTTATCCTGATGCTTAAACCAGACAAAGGCACAACAATAAACGAAGGATAGGCCAATGTAGGCCAATTTTCCCAATAAATATAGATACAAAAATTCTTAACAAAATAGTTGCAAACCAAATACAGAAAGACATAAAAAATCATTCACTGTGATCAAGTTATTATTTTGGAGATTTGCAAATTAAGCTGGGATTAGGTTAGAAGCTTCTTCTCTGCTAGCTAGCTTACATAGTGACAGCAGGTGCTATGTAGGCTTCCAGAAGTGAAAAGACATCAATAGCCTTACTTAGCTGTGGATTCTGAACGCTGTAGTCACATGTGCCCACTGGTAAAGTAGTGGTAGAACTATTGTGGGGTAAACACAAATTTTCTGATTGGATTTGATTTCACAGGAGGAGATCCATGCTATGTACTATAGATCTGCTCCAGGACTTATGGCATGGTGGGTGGATCATAAGACCCAAAAGGAATCTACTATTGATAATTTGGTAATGAGCATGTTGTCAAGTCACCTTCTAAATATTTATGTTTTAGCATGACCATAGAATATTCTATTTACAATGAGCGACAGTAAATGCAGACATTCACAACAGATAAAAATAATGAGAGTAAATGACTATGGAGTACTCTTTGCTAATTGAGACATCTATATCATTTCTGACAAAGTCCTGGGAATTTCTATAAAAGAATGCAAAAAGAATGTAAGAACCAGAGGAGCAAAAGGACTGCTGTGGAATATCGTCAGTTTCAAATAACATGACTCTTGCACCCATATACACAAAGCAATCAGTAGTCACCTGCACGAAGGCCCACACAAACTGGGGCTTATCGGCATTCCATCATGGCTGAAAGAGGGGATCATGAGGCACCAACCTTCCCTGAGGCACTATTTGTAATCGGTGGTTGCTAAGATGGAGTGGTCATATTCCTCACTGCCTAGCTACTGGTGAGTGGCCCTCACTTAAGGAAATAACACCCCAGAAAACCCTGCAACCAACAACAGTTAGATGCAGTGGATCACCAAAAAAGATATGATAGCAGGGGTTCTGCAGGAGTATGAATAAGATAAGAAAGAATGATGGGTTCATATGATCTAAATACATGATGTATAATCACATTTTAGCAAAATACATTATTTATAATTATGAAAGAATATATTTAAAAATGAAAAGAAGAGATGATTTTAAAAGCAATTCTGGTTCCTATGATTGCCTTCATTTAAACAGGGACTGCAGTAGGCCAGAAGGACTCCCGAGGGTGATCCAGGGCTTTGAGCTGTTTTCCAATGTTCCATTATTCTTCCTTTTTGAAGAAGGACACTACATATTTCCATTATAAACGTTCTGAAAATTCACTCCAGGGAAAAATTAATTTAAAATTTAGAGAATGAATCTTTGACATTGGTTATATTTTATTAAAAACTAACTAAAATGATGACTATCACTGATATTTAATGTATGTGGTGATAATGAGTAAAAAAAATTGCTCTGGGATAACCATTTTGTATGCTGTGAATATGTTTTAATACCATTGGTTAATAAGATACCTGTTTTGGCCTATAGCAAGGCAGGATAGAGCCAGGCCAGAAACCTAAGCAGAGTTATAGGTGAATAAGGTCAGATGCCAACTTGAGCCCAAGAAGCCAGATGCTAGCAGACCAGTGATATCAAGGGTTAATTTAAGTTGTAAGAGCAAGCTAGTAATAAGCTTGACAAATAGGTCCAACAGTTTGTAGTTAATATTTAGCCTCTGAGTGTCTATTTTAAAAGCAGCTGCGGAACCAGGCAGGGCAGCAAAGTCTCCTTTTACAAATGATTTCTCCATTTCCCCCCTAATTTCACTGTGTAGCATCTATAGATTCTGATTCTGTGATAGGATGAACTGGTTCCACTCTGTTGACTCCAATGTTTCTTGTAACACTCCACAAACAGCTTGCGCCTTGACCTGAAATACTCAAAACTGGGAGAAGTATTTATGAGTAGCACATTGATTGATTAAGAATAAATACTTTTTATCTAGCACATCTGAATACTAGAAAATCATAGGGAATTACCTATGGGCAATGGAGCTTTTCTGTAGTGGTATCAATTATTACACACACATACCTGAGAATGAGAGACATTGAAGACTTCTCTGACAAAAGCTCAAAAAAGGTCCAGACAGGAAGATATCAAAGAGAGTATTTAAAACTGACATGCATGCTCTCCATAGTTGGTGGTTTCAAGCAGGCATGGGAGTGAGGAAAGACTCAGTTACCATTAAGGACTGTCTGCTGCGATTTTAACCATACCCCACAGAGTATATGGGCAATACAAATTGGAATTGGTGTTTGTTTGTTGGGATTATGACATAAGAATAGAAGAATGTACCTGGGAGGGATGGGAAGTGAATGTTATTAGAAACTTCATTTAGCGGCTGATCGAAGAAGAGGCAGACTCCCTTGGTTAAGTACTGAGCTGAACTCAAGAAAGCCAGTAACAGAGAGGGAGGACTGATGATCAAAGGGATTAAGACTGGGCCGGTTTAACCCCCAGAAATAGCTGACCAGACAAAGGTTAACTCTTGAATCCCAGGCATCAGCCTGGGAATCCAGCATGGGACTGATCAAGATCCCCTGAATCTGGGTGTCAGTGAGGAGGCCTAGGTAATCTATTGAGCCTTGGGCAGCAGATCAGTACCCATCCCAAGTATACACATGGACTTTGGACTCCCATAGAACAATGTGAGGTGCACTCTCACCCTGAACTCTTGGGGAAGGGTCTAGGCCCTGCTCTATATGAAATGACAGACTCTGGACACCCCCATGGAGGGTGAGGCCCTCCATGGGGGAATGAGGGCATAACGGGGGGGGGCGGGGTTGGGGAGAGGGCACGGGAGGAGGGGAGGGAAAGGGAGAGGGACCTAGAACTGACTTGTGAAGCAACCTTGTTTCTTATCTAAATTTAAACTGGAAAATAAAATAAAAAATAAAAGAAGAAGAAAAAAAACAAAATTCCCAAATAAATAATAAAGATACTATCTTGGAGGAAAAAAGAAAAACTATGTCCTCCATAAAATTTATTACAAAATGAATACACTTTCCATCTTGACAGAATTAGCAAAGCACCAGCCTTGATGACACCAGAAATAAAATGCTGAAGCATTTTGATGAAAGCATGCATACGATTCTAATGTTTCTGTTAGGTTTTAATTCCTAGTGAAAGAGCTAGTGTTGAAGGGCAAGCTGCCTTTGCATTTCCCTCAGTCCTGGAAGATTTGAAAGTGACCTAATACTGTCAAAATTAACTGGGATTTCCCATGTCTGCAATTCATGTTGAATTGTAATAAATCATGAATTGTGGTGCCTGCCTAGGTGATGCACACTGTTTCTAGACGCTACCCTGCCGGCAATGCATGTGGTGAATCATAATAAATGTTTAGAGGTTGAGGCTAATGTTGTAAGGTGATGTAAATCATGCATACTTCCATCTGTTGTACAGATGCACCTGGGTAAGTAAAAATCAGTGAACTATCTCTAGAAACCAGACCACCTCTACAATCTTTTGTGGCATATACAAACTGTGTGCAGAGGGTATCCGCTAAAGGCTGATACTTTTAGGAAATAAAATAGCATGTTTGGATGAAAAATAGTAAGTTTGTTGGGAGAAAAATGATTATTAATTTGAAAGGGACACACAGCAAAAGCCATTGCTAAATCATCCAACCTATATAACAAAACTTCTGTTATTTTTTTTTCATTAGGAATATGAATCTTTGTCAGGTCTTGACCAAATAATGACTTTGTGAAAGACCTGCACAAAACATAATTACCAATCAGCAACCATAAGAAAGTATGGAGTGATAACCATTTTTGGACTGATAGAGAGATTCATCCGTTCACTTGGCACCTCATCCCAGAGCAACCCTGTGGGGATGTTGAGAGAAGGCATAACTAATAATGCAGGAACAACATAGGAATTTGAGATAAGCTGACACTGAGCATTTTTAAGTACATTTTTCACTTACTATAATGTTACATTAACTGAAATTTGCACTTGTGTGGGAATTTTTAACATAGGTCTAACTCTATTAAACTTCCCTAGTGGTTTTTGAAAATCATTTAGTTTTTAAAATGTCTTTCCTAATTTCTACCCTTTAAGAAACAACTTCTGAAGACTTTACTAACTTTCCTAAATATAAGATTGTAGTAATACATTGGATTTTCTCAGTAGCAATACCAATCCATAAAGGGTTAATGCAGCTTTTTACTTCAGTGAAAAGATATTCCAACATTCTATCATTTTCAGCATAATGCCATTCATATAATGTATAATGAAAGCAAAGAAGAAACAGCTCTCTAGCTCTCTTTAAAGTAGAAGCAACAATTTTCTTTTACTGAAAGTTGGGCCATTTGTTATTTTATGAGGTAAAATTTCCAATGATATCTTTTCATGGGTTCAGATAAGACAAAGGAAGGTACAGGAAGGCAAATCTTTTATAATCTTTATGATGAAAAGACACACACATACATACAAGAAATATTACTGAAGCTCAAATCACACATAAAACCTCACTCAAACATAGAGTGGGAGATTTCAACACTCTACTCTCACCACTAGACAGGACCACAAGACAGAAACTTAAGAAAGAAACAAAAGAACTAACAGAAGTTATGACCCAAATGGGATTAACAGACATCTATAGAACATTCCATCCTAACACAAAAGAATATAACTTCTTCTCAGCTCCACATGGAACCTTCTCTAAAATCGAATACACACTCTGCAACAGAGCAAAACTCCACAGATACAAAAAATGTTGGAATAAACCCCTGTATCTTATCAGACCACCATGCTTTAAAGTTAGAATTCAAAATAACACAAATCACAGAAACCCTACAAACTCATGGAAATTGAACAATGCACATTTGCACCATTCCTGGGTCAAGGAAGAAAATAAAAGAAATTAAAGACTTCCTGAAATTTAATAAGAATGAAGAAACAACATATCCAAACTTATGGGACACTTTGAAAACAGTGCTAAGAGGAAAGTTCATAGCACTAAGTGCACACACGAAGAAATTGAATAATAGTCACACTAGAGAACTAGCAGCACAACTGAAAGCTCTAGAACAAAAAAGAAGCAAATTCACCCCAGAGGAGCAGATGCCAGGAAATAATCAAATTGGGCGAAACTGAATAATAGTCACACTAGAGAACTAGCAGCACAACTGAAAGCTCTAGAACAAAAAGAAGCAAATTCACCCCAGAGGAGCAGATGCCAGGAAATAATCAAATTGGGCGAAACTGAATAATAGTCACACTAGAGAACTAGCAGCACAACTGAAAGCTCTAGAACAAAAAGAAGCAAATTCACCCCAGAGGAGCAGATGCCAGGAAATAATCAAATTGGGCGCTAAAATCAATAAAGTTGAAACAAAGAAAATGAATACAAAGAATCAATGAAACAAAGAGTTGGTTCTTTGAGAGAATCAACAAGGCAGACAAACCTTTATCTTAACTAACCAAAAGGCAGAGAACATCAACTTATTTATCAGAAATGAAAAGCAGATTATAACAACAGACACTGGGGAAATCAAGATAATCATCAGGTCATACTTTGAAAACCTGTACACCACAAAATCGGAAATGTAAAGGAAATGGGGAATTTTCTGAATAAGTATCACTTACCAAAATTAAATCAAGAATAGATAAGCAATTCCAATAGACCTATAACCACCAATGAAATAGAAGCAATCATCAAAAGTCCTCCAACCAAAAACAAAAAACAAAAAACAAAAAACAAAACAACAACAACAACAAAAAAAACCAAAAAACAAAATCCAGGTCCAGATAGCTTCAGTGCAGAATTCTATCAGAAATCCAAAGAAGAGCTAATACCAATGCTCCTCAAATTGTTCTACACATTAGAAGCAAAAGGGACATTGACAAACTCTTTTTAAGAGGTTACAATCACCATGGAACCTAAGCCACAAAAAGTCACAACCAAGACAGAGAACTACAGACCACTATCCCTCATAAACATTGATGCAAAAATACTCAACAGAATATTGGCAAATCAAATCAAGTAACACATCAGAAAAAATAATCCACTATGACCAAGTAAGTTTCATCCCAGAGATGCAGGGATGCAAATTGGAAAGGAAGAAATCAAACTTTCACTATTTGCAGACGATATGATAGTTTACATAAGTCACCTGAAAAACTCTATGAGTGAACTCCAACAGCTGATAAACACATTCAGCAAAGTGGCAGGATACAAAATTAACTAAAAAAAATCAATAGCCCTACAATATAAAGATGATAAATGGGATGAGAAAGAAATCAGAGAAACATCACCCTTTACAATTGCCACAAAAATATAAATCTTGGGGGCAATGCTAACCAAACAAGGGAAAGAACTGTACAGTAAGAGCTTTGAGTGTTTAAAGAAAGAAATTAAAGACGATACCAGAAAATGGTAAGATCTCCCATGCTTTTGGATAGGTAGGGTCAGCATAGTAAAAATGGCAATCTTTCCCAAAGTAATCTACACATTCAATGCTATCCCCATCAAAATCCAACCCAATTCTTCACAGACTTTGAAAAACAAACACTCAACTTTATATGGAAAAGTAAAATACCCAGGATAGCCACAACAACCCTGTATAACAAAGGAACTTCCAGAGGCATCGCCATCCCTGACTTCAAGCCCTATAATAGAGCCAAAGTCCTAAAACAGCTTGGTATTAGCATAATTTAGGCCATTGGAATCCAATTGAAAACCCTGATATTCAGTTACATACCTATGAACACCTGATTTTTGACAAAGTAGATAAAGTTATGCAATGGGAAAAAAGAAAGAAACTTCAACAAATGGTGCTGGCATAACTGAATGTGAACATGTAGAAGAATGCAGATAGATCCATGTCTATCACCATGCACAAAACTAAAGCCCAAATGGGTCAAAGACCTTGACATAAATCCAGCCACACTGAACCTCTTAGAAGAGAAAGTGGGTGGAACCCTTTAACGAATTGGTACAGGAGGCAGCTTCCTGAACGTATCACTGGTAGAATAGACACTGACATTGTCAATCAATAAATGGGACCTTCTGAAACTGAGAAGCTTCTGTAAGGCAAAGGACAAAGTCAACAAGACAAAAAGGCATCCATAGAATGGGAAAAGATCTGCACCAATCCCCCATCTGACATAGGACTGATTTCCAAACTATACAATGAACTCAAGAAGCTATCGACCAAAACATCAAACAACTCAATTAAAAAGTAGGATGCAGAACTAAATAGAGAATT